TTTTTTTTTTTTTTTTTTTTTTTTTTTTTTTGAGATGGAGTCTCGCTCTGTCACCAGGTTGGAGTGCCATGGTGGGATCTTGGCTCACTGCAACCTCTGCCTCCCAGTTCAAGTGATTCTCCTGCCTCAGCCTCCCTAGTAGCTGGGATTACATGCCCCTGCTACCAAACCCATCTATTTTTGTATTTTTAGTAAAGATGAGGTTTCACCATGTTGGCCAAGCTGGTCTTGAACATCTGATGTCAAGTGATCTGCCTCCCTCAGCCTCCCAAAGTGCTGGGATTACAGGCGTGAACCACCGTGCCTGGCTGGGTTTCATTTTGTTAATGGCAGTTCAGACCATATGTATGCCTGATGACTCAATTTCTACAAGGTCCAGTAGCATGCCAGGAGCTATTTCACAAAAGCTCTATAAATGCTTAGGTATAATTGATCTGGTCTTGCTCTAGGGCTCAAGAGATCAGTAGAAATTGTTTCACCTGTTAGGACTTGGCCATAAATTCCACAAAGTTTTTTCTCACCATTGATACCTCTGGTATCATAATGTGTGATAAGTTGCATGGCTCCAGTCGTAGAGATTCTTCCACTGCAGCAGATTTGTGGAGGAATCCACACTTACTCTCTGAGCCATGACAGGAGCCTTGCAGCCCTTTATATCCCCTAATATATACGTCAGAATTTTATTCCCAGGTATGAACAATGCTTCCTCAGTATCCAGTGAGGCCTACCAGACATTGTGTCCTCTACTTTTTTAAAGAGATGCCCTAGCATGCAAGAAGCCCATGTAAGCCTAAAAATTCACCTGCCTATGGCCCCCAGTGTTCTTTCAGCTGTCGTCCATCCACCCACTCCCCTCAGACCTCAGCACTGGCTGGAACCTAACCCCGGTCATGACATTTAGCATAGTCATGGACCTAACACCAAGCTAATAAAATAATTACTTAGAACTCATCATCAATTTGTGATGATTTTTAGTGCATTTTGCTGTTATCCACGCATGAAATTATTAACATTTGTTACATCTGTATAGTGAAAATAATAAATAATGCTGTACTACTGCACATTAATTTCCAACTCTGTGTTCAATGATGTGACCTGGGTACCTTGAAATCAGCAATGGTGGGAATAATCACATCACAGAAATCAGCTGGTGTCACAAACCAGGGCTTGTTGTGTTTGTGTTTTTCTCTGTGCCACCAGTTGTTAAAGGAAAACACAGAAGTAGAAGCACCTTTTTGCTCTCTGTATTATTTCTGTGAACATGGAGCTTTATCTGACATTGCTTTAGCTCTGTGGGTGAGCAATCCCAGCTGCTATTGCAATTCAACCCTTAGTACCATAATGGGGTCTGTAAGGCTGGTTGCCTTGCGGGGAGTTTGGACACGCCCATATCCCTCCCCACTTGAAAATTATGTTATCAGAATATGCCCATCATCTAGCTCCGCCTTGGAAATCCCCTCTGCACTCCGCACCTAGCCCACCTTGGTAATCCGCTCTGCACTAGGCACCTAGCATGCCTTGGAAATCCCCTCTGCACTCGGCACCTAGCACACCTTGGAAATCCCCTCTGCACTCAGCACTCAGCCCGCTCACCAGAAATCCCACCTACCTACCAATAGCAGCTCACCCCATCCACATCCTGTTTCTCCAAATCCAATCAAACGCCTTCACTCCCTATAAAACCCCACTCCTAAGAGGAGTCAGGCGTGGCTTACCTGGCTCCTCTCCCCGGGACCATAGAACCTCGCCTGGGAGCTGAATAAATTGGCATCTAATTTTCCTGTGCTAGCCTCAGTTTCCTCGTTTTTAACTTGGCAATAAACCTACACAGAATAAACTTTACAGGGCCCACCTTGTTTCATAGTGGAGCTCTAACACTTGGCCTTTTCTACTTTAAACATTGTCATTCCCAATACTTCTCTGAATTCACTTCTGTGGGAACATCTCCTACTGTAATCTTTGGCATGCAGAGGAGAGTCATGCTGAGCTTCTCAGTGATGTTTATGAAGGACTTAAGTCCTTTTGCCAGTGCCTTCCTTATGGTGCCGATTATACCATCCCATAGAACAGAGTCCACTGGTGGATTTCCTGTCCTTATATAGTTTATCCACTATAGCATGCCCACTTCTCTAAGCATTTTTATCTTTTCTTCAGGTACCTGCCATGGGAAATCTGGAATGTTACTCTACATAACATGAGCCATTGCTTTGTCCAATCTTCTTGGAGTTATTTCAGCAGTGTATCAGCACTGTTCACAGCATTTATCCAAGTTATGAAATTCTATATTGCAACTGAAACCCCAATGTTGATAAAATCTCCCTTATCCAGCTTTATGTTTCTCTTATGATCTAGCCACTCTCAGAATCCAGTTCCATTGTATACACTCCAAGTTGTTGTTATTACATATTAATTAGGTCCAAATTCATCCTTAGTATAGCCTTTTATCTTCCTTATAAGCTTAACACATAACCTTATTATTGGCCTATGACCAATAACTAAGAAAGGAAAGGAAGGGAGAGTTGCAAGAAGGGTGTGAAGGACTCAATATTTTCTTTTCTTTTTTTTTTTTTTTTTTTTTTTTTTGTTTTTTAGTTTTAGTAGAGATGGGGTTTCACCGTGTTGACCAGGATGGTCTCGATCTGTTAACCTCGTGATCTGCCCGCCTCGGCCTCCCAAAGTGCTGGGATTACAGGCTTGAGCCACCGCGCCCGGTATATTTTCTTTAAGTAAGGAGAAAGGCATGACCTCAACAAGGGAGAATATGTAACTTTGTCAGAATTAGAGAGTACAACATTTAGAAGAGTCTACATTTTTTTAATTTTTGAGAAAAAAATTTTGAGAAGGCACTTACAAATGACGGAAAGTATTTTTAATACATTTATCTAAAAATGAAATTTTTCTATATTATTTTACAACCCATTTTACTTTTTTATATGCATATTTTATGTGTATCTATATTTATATATATATTTGCATATATATACAAATCACCATAAGAAAACAAATCCGTAAAATAGGCAAAATATTTAAATAGGTCATTGAAAAAAGATATGTATGAGTTGCCAATATGCACATGAGTAAATGCTCAATATAACATCAGAGATGTACAAGTTAAAATCACATTTAGATTCTACTATACATCTATGGTTAAATTTAAATGGTTAAATTTAAAAAGATTGGGCATATCTAATGTTGCTATTGTGGAGCAAATAGAACCATTCAATGTTAATGTTGGGAATGGCACAACTTTTTGGAAAAATGTATGCTTATAAAATAAAACATATATTTTCTATCTAATTTAGCAGTTTCACCTCTGCATATTTCTTCAAAGGATTAAAAAATATGTCAATAGAAAGACTTTTGCATAAAGGTTTATTTTGACCTTACTTATGATATTCATGAAGTGGAAAAAGCTCAGTGTAGCAGTGGGTACATTTTATTATAAAATGGATAAAAGTTATTATATGTCTATACAATGAAATACTACTCAGTAATAAAAACTAATTAACTGCTGATCTGTGCAGCAACATGGTTAAAACTCAAAAACATTGTGCTCAGCAAAAAACATCAGACTTACCAGAATTGCCAATTGTGTCATTCTATTTACAGAAATGTCTAAAACCAGCAAAGCTTCCTAGTTGGCTGCTGCCTGGTTTCAGGGGTGAGAATGAACTGCAAAGCAACAGCAGAGAACATTTTGCTGTGTAGAAATGTTTTATATCTTGACTGTTTTCCTTTTTGGAACAAAACTAAATTTCACTTAACTAGAACTGTGTAATCTCTATATTTTTCTGTACATGCATTTCTAATAGTTCTTTGGATACAATCTTTTGTTAACAACAAAGGCAGAATATATTTATTTCCTCAAAAATTTTCTGTCTTTTTTCTGTCCAAAAATGAAAAGAGCAATTTTGTTATCTGTCCTTTCCTTCTGCAGTTTACTTTGCATAATCTTTCTGAGAGCTGACAAAAGTGACCAGAGGTATGTGTGAGGACACCCAGAAGTGATTAAACCTGTTTCTTATTCTCTTCACATTTTCTTTCTTTTAATTCCTTCGTACTGCAGTTTCTTCTCTATTCTCATTTCCTTTTCCCCTTAAAGTTTCTCTCTCAGAACAAATGCAGTGTTCATTCTAAAGCTGCTGTGGGACGCTGGCTGCTTCTCCTCATTTCCTCCCTATTTGTTGAGGGGGAATGCAAAATCACTGGAAAACTGATTCGAGCAGATCTGAAAAAAAATAAAGTTGTGGCCTTGTAACTTAGCAAAAGCATAGTAGCCTCATCTTGTATGTTAATGATAGCATTCTGGGCACTTTGTTACTTCTGTTTTCTTTTTCTCCCTGTGTATGCTTGTGTGTGTGTGTTCCCACACCTATATGTGTGACTGTGCAAATATTTGCCTTTGAGAGAGAGAATAGTTTTTGTTTTTCTTTCAGTAGCCAAAATTTAAAGCATTGCTTTTTCTTTGATTCTATCGCTTTTAAGGTGATCTTTCTTAACACAAGATAATAAAGCAGTAGTGTCCTAAAGAATGCTGTTTAAATATTAATCAGCATCAGCCTCTCCTACAGCTTTGGATGGATACCAGTTATGAGTCGCTAGTGGATGAATCAGAAAACAACCACTTGAGTAATTCTGTGTTCTGTTGTTCAGATGAGAATCTCCGATGAGAAAGAAAATATGTGTTTGTTCTTCAACTTTGAATTATTATTTCACCAACTTCCTTCCTCTTTGGCAAGCCTTTTTGATCAAGAAGACAACTGTGATTAACAATAGTATGAGTAATAGTCACATGATTACTTCTAGTTTGGGAAATGCTGCTTAAACTTTCAGTTACTCTTTAAAAGTGGTGTAGCTCTAGTTTGCAGCTGTGCTGTAAAAACGAGTAACATTTTTATATTAAATAAAGCTGTAGCTTTTAAGAGAGGTTCTGGAAGCTATGACACAAAGCTGCTAGCAGCAAATCAAGAAACTGATTAAAAGAAGAAAGGTAAGAACATTTCTGGTTGTTCAGAATGACTGTTATTTATGGAAATTGTGATGCGTAATGTTAAAGCCTTTGAAGAAAAGAATTAAATTTTGTGTTTTGTTTTGGGAAACTAGAAAATTCCTTCTTATAACAACATTGAGATTTGTATGTGACTGTTTTGTCTTAATAAATTCACTTACTTTACATTGCCTGAATCATAATGGAGAAGGGTTAACCGTGACTTAAAACTGCTCAAGATTTAGTTTCACTTTCACACAATATTTTCTAAAATACTTGCAAATATGTTAAATATGATCCTGATACTCATAATTTTCAGAATGTATGCATAATACGAAAAATTTAGCCAATATTTCTAATATTTTTAAAGATTGCTTTATTGGCTGGTATATAGACCAGGCTTCAGGAATACTTAATAGAAAAAATATATCCCTTTCCTACTCTTACTAAGTAATTGCTAGTACTCCGATATCCACGGAGATGTCTTTACCAACCCTCGGAAAGATACAGAAAAAAAATGTTCTACAAAATACACTTACGAAACAACCTGGTAGCACTGGATTTATTAAATAGCAAGTTCAGATTATGTAAGATCCTAACTAAATCTTTGGGATTTCCACAGGGTTTATTTATATCGAAATATATGAAGGAGGAATGGCTGAAACTAAATGCATTCAATACGACAATCTATGATGTAGGGACTGTGATGAGCTTTAAGCATTCCCCATTTAGCTGAATGTCAACCTGCCAGTGTAGGCTACAGTCAAAAAAATTTTTGCTGTGGTATGTTAGAATGCATACTTTATCCTTCCTCTCTTATTTTAGCCAGTTTTATAATTCTGCCTAAAGTTAAATAAAAGAGGTTTGGGGGTATAAGATCAATATTTGGTGGTAGCACAAAATATCATCCTAATCAAAAGCTTTAAGAATGCCTTCCAGCCACTAGTAATACCAGTGTAATTTTCTACTTTTAATCAATTGTATACATTTATACATTGTATATAAATACATTATGTAATATATCTTATTATATATGAATATATTTTAAAGTTACTGAGTATAATATATTCACTATAATATTGTATATATGATGTATGCATATATAATCTGAAATTATGAACATTATTTTAATAGTATTAATTTAGGGCAGCATAATACATTTAGTTTTTATATACATTTTAACAAATATTTTATTTGCTCTGCTTATCATAAAAAATCATTTATGAATTTTTCTATAGTTATTAGCTAAGAAAAATAATATTTTGATTTTAAATGCATTGGTCACTCTGTATCTTTCTTGTATTTCCTTAGAGATCAGAATCAAACGGAAAATGGCTGAGTCATTGAAACTTCTCTATGGGAAAAACAATTGCAGTCCTTAGCTGTTTAGATTATCAAATTAAATATAGAACTATTTTAGCTACACTGTTAATTAAATCAATTGTTCTTGAATTCTCTGGGGAAGTGTCCTTTTATACATAGCTTCATCAAAGATTAAGAAGGCTCAGCAACTTTGAAATTCATGTTTCAATATCAGCTTCAGAGTGGGAGATCACAATTTTTTAGTTGTTTTGAAAGGCAGCTATGCGCCGGGCGCGGTGGCTCACCCCTGTAATCACGGCACTTTGGGAGGCCGGGGCGGGTGGATCACGAGGTCAAGAGATCGAGACCAGCCTGGTCAACATGGTGACACCCTGTCTCTACTAAAAATACAAAAAACATTAGCTGGGCATGGTGGCGCGTGCCTGTAATCTCAGCTACTCAGGAGGTTGAGGCAGGAGAATTGCCTGAACCCAGGAGGTGGAGGTTGCGGTGAGCCGAGATCGCGCCATTGCCCTCCAGCCTGGGTAACAAGAGCGAAACTCCGTCTCAAAAAAAAGAAAAGAAAAGAAAAAAAAAAGGCAGCTATGCTCACCACATTCTACCAATGCCACTAATTTTCTTCATAACTCATGTAAATAATTGCAGCCTCCTAAACAAGTATTGAGAATTCAGTGACAATGAACAGATTCTGGGAAATAATAAAAATAACGGCAGTGAAAACAATTTATACTGAGATTAAAAACTACATTTCAGAGCTCAGGAATAAATTAAGTAGGGAATGAACACATAGCAGGTTTAAATTTGTACCTACATATTCAGAAGTGCAATAATGTTCAATTCATTAGTTATTTAAATAAAATTAATGTCACTTCAAGTCTCCATCTCACCGAGTGCACAGGACAGGTTACTTACTTTCTGTTATTTGGTGGTATTGAGAGTGAGAGGTTTCTTTCAAGTTTATATGAAGTTTCCCAGGTTTTATAAGACACCAAAGTGTTACAATGGTCTTCAGTCATCAGTTTCCACTGATTACCTCTGAGAAGACCATGTTCCAATATAAATGACCTGTTTGGGTCTAGTTCTGCTATTTTGTGTGGCACTTACAACAAAAGCCACACTGTCTCTTTGCCACATTAAAAGTATATCTTTTTTGAAGCTGGGGGTCATCTGTACTTAAGATCTAGCATCTTTGTTGATAGCACCAAGCCCTTATACGCTAATATCTAGCCAACTTTGCAGTGGAAAGGGCTCCTATTTTCCCTTTTCACTGTATTGGTATTTGCAAATTGTGATTTCTCACATGGTCAGGATGTGAATTGCCCGTCTTTCTTCCTGTTAGCTCAGAGTTATTTCCTCTTGTTAAAATCCCTCCACAATTCTCACAAACATGACTTCAATAAGCTAGATTTTTTAAGTTGAAAAGGCCATTGATTTAGTAAGCAGCTTGGGGTTTTCTTTTCAAAAGTCATTCTAGAAGAAAGAATATCAAAATGGCCTGACAGCCTTCTACAAATAAGGGACATGAAACCGACTAAAAAGAAATACTTCTGCTTGCTGCGAATGTCAGTAATCTTCACACTCTTAACATACACACAATGATTAAATATTTAAAAACAGGACAACTGTAACAAAAGAAAAAAATAGCAAAAGTTACCTTTTATTTAACTAGACTTCCCGTTTTAACTAGACTTTCTAAAAACACAACACATATATGCTCTTTAATTTGAAAAAAATAGAAGTGGATGAAGAGACATAGGATCAAATGGGGGTAAGAAAATTCAGTTATATGCCACAAATGTTTGATCAAGATTTTGAAATCATGATACTCTAACATTAATACCCCTTTTTACATTATGCCAATTTATGGGCAGAAAAATGGAATGACTTACTGACATATTTACTTGATTTGTGGCATGGAAAAGGGGGAACGAGTTCCTGTCTTTTTGATACCTGAGGTTTAAAGAAAATTAATAAATAATTCATAAAATTAACAGGATTATATATGAAAGATGATAAGAAACATCATCAGAAAGAGCTTGGACTAAAGTTCTGAACTGAGTCATGTACAATCCCAAAAAAGGATGACCATCACATATACATATTCTGTTTCTTCTCCCTCTTGATCATTGCTGTACTAAGACAGGAAGATTACATCTTCAACCTCATTACTCATTATTGTTTCCTTGAGGTTTCCGTTTCCTCATGGTTCAATCGTGGTAGATTGTGTTTGTGTAGCAATTTATTCATATTTTCTAGAATTTCCAATTTTTAGCATATAGTTTTTTATAATAATCTCTAATGATTCTTTGTATTTGTGCGGTAACAGTTGTTGTTCTTGGTGGTGGTTGTGGTTTGTTTTTAATAAAGATAGGGTCTTGCTATGTTGCCCAGGCTAGTCTTGAACTCCTGAGCTCAAGCAATCCTCCTACTTCAGCCTCCCAAAGTGCTGGGATTACAGGCATGCGCCACCATGCCTGGCCCTATATGACATCAGCTGTTTTGTCTCCATGTTTTTGTTTGTTTTTGTTTCTGATTTTTTTATTTGAGTTTTTTATATTTTTTCTCTGTCTAGCTAAAGGTTTGTTGATTTTATCTTTTTTATATTTTGTTTATCTTTTCATAAGACACCAAAGTGTTACAATGGTCTTTGTTCATCAGTTTCCGCTAATTATGTCTGAGAAGACCATGTTCCAATATAAATCACCTCTTTGGATCTAGCTCTGCGATTTTGTGCTGCACTTACAACAAAAGCCACACTTTCTGTTTTTGTTTTCTTGATCTTCTATGTTGTACTTTTAGTCTCATTTCATTTATTTCTGCTCTGATTTTTATTACTTCTTTTCTTCTACTAATTTGGATTTTGGTATGTTCTTGCTCTTCTAAATCCTTTGAGGTCATCATTAGGTTATTTATTTGAAGTCTTTCTACCTTTTTTTAAAAAAGCATTTATTACTTTAAACTTCCTTCTATGTACTGCTTTTCTGCATACCACAGATTTTGGTTTATTGTGCTTCCATTTTCACTGGTTTCAATAAGTTTTTAAAATTTTCTTCTTAATTTCGTCACTGACTCTTTGGTCATTAAGGAGCACGTTATTTAATTCTCATGTATTTGTGTAGTTTCTGAGGTTTCTCGAGTTACTGACTTCTAGTTTTATCCCATTGTGGTAAGAAAAGATACTTGACGTGATTTCTACCCTTTTGAATTTATTGAGACTTTTATTTGGCCTAAAATGTGGTCTATTCTGCAGATTGTCCCATGTACTGTTAAAAAGAATGAGTATTCTGCAGCAGTGCTTCCGTATGTGTCAGTTGGGTATATTTGATCAAGTGTGTAGTGTAACTCCAATATTTCCTTGTGATTTCCTGTTTAGATGATCTGTCCATTACTGACAGTTAAAGTCTCCTAATATTATTGCATTGCAGTCTACCTCTCCCTTTAGATCAATGAATGTTTGCTTTATATGCTTGAGAGCTCTGAAGTTGGGTTCATAGATTTTTTAAACTATCATATCGTCTTGCTGAATTGACCCCTTTAGCATTATATAGTGACCTTAGTCTCTTTTTAAAGTAGTCTTTGATTTTTAGTCTATTTTATCTGATATAACTACTCCTGCTTTTATGGTTTCTAGTTGCATGAAATATCTTTGTTCATCCCTTCACTTTCATTCTCTGTGTGCGCTTATAGGTGAAGTGGATTTCTAGTAGGCTGCATACAGTCAGGGTTTCTTTCTTTACCAATTCAGCCCCTTTATTCCTTTTATAATTTTTATTTATTTATTTATTTGTTTGTTTGTTTATTTTGTGAGACAGTCTTGCTTTGTTGCCCATGCTACAGTGAAATGGCATGATCTTGGTTCACTTCAACCTCCACCTTTTGGATTCAAGCAATTCTCCTGCCTCAGCCTTCTGTGTAGCCAGGATCACAGACCTCTACCACTACACCTAGCTAAGTTTTGTATTTTTAGGAGAAACAAGGTTTTGCTATGTTGGCCAGGCTGGTCTTGAGCTTCTGATCTCAAGTGATCCACCTCCCTTGTCCTCCGAAAGTTCTGGGGTTACAGGCATAAGCCACCTTACCTGGCCTGCATTTTATGCCTTTTCATTGGAGAGTTGACTTCATTTAAATTCAGTGTTATTATTGTTAAGTAAGGATTTATTACGGCTATTTCGTTGCTTGTTTTATGGTTGTTTTTAAATTTATCTCTGTTTTCTTATGGTCATTCTTTGTGGTCACATAATTTTCTCTGGTAGCGTATATTAATTATGTGCTTTTTATTTTTAGTGACTGTATTATAGGTTTTGTGTTGTGATTACTATGAGGCTTATAAAAAACATAGATATAACAAGTTATTTTGAAGAGATAACAATTTATATAATAAAGAAAAAAATAGAAACAAAACTAACAAACACTTACTCCACCCTCACACATTTTTTAATTTAGTTGTTTCAGCTTGCGTATTTTTATTCCTTACCTCTTAACAGGTTTCTGCAGTTATTATTGTCTTTGATAGATTTGTCTTCTGGTCTTCATACTACAGATGTCAGTGGATTGTGCCTCACAATCATAGTATTAGAGTAGTCTGGGTTTGTCCATACATGTAATTTTATCAGTGTATTCTATATATATTCAGCTGTTTTCTTTTTGCATGTTTTTTTCTTTTAAGTTGAAAAACTTTCTTTAGCATTTCTTATAAGACATGACTGGTGGTGAATACTCTCAGTTTTGACTTGTCTGGGAAAGACTATCTCTTCTTCATATTTGAAGGATAGCTTTGTAGGATA